GAGGTGCTGGGATCCTGCGGTTGTGTGTAGCTGACTTGCTGTTAGAAGGTGGGGCTTGGTTGCAGGTGGGGCACTGGAAGCCTGCTCTAGAGGGGTCTGTTCTTATCACTAGCCTCTTTCTCTGCGTCTTGACTGCCATGGGTCGAGCACCTTTCCTCTCCCACTCCCTTTCACCGTGATGTTTCTGCCAGGAAGTCACGACTGTACCTCTCAAGGGATTGTGTTGCCCCCTTTCTGTTCTTGGGCCAACTGGGGTATGAATATTTTTTGGACAAAAGGAGAACACCACTGACCTTTAGTGACATTTGTGTCACCAAAGTCCTGTGATGGATAGGCCAGCCCTTTGTGCCATATTGTCAAGCTCATCTGTAATAATTGAGAAATGCTGACAGAGCAAGGTCACTTTCTGTGATCACATTACATTTTCTGTGCTAGACAGGCACAAATGTTCAATTTTTGGTTATTTATGTATAAGTTTTTCTGGGGAGTTTCATGGAATTAACCTATGGCATCAGTTAGTGAAGTTTGGACTTTTAGACCTTCTAGTTTTGTTTTTCTACTGGTGAGGACTGAACCCAGGGCTTCAGCGACTGTCTGTTTTCTTGAACATTTTCATTACCTTTGGTGACTTGAGTGTATTTAGTATGGAGATGGTAGGATTGTTTTTTTGCTTTTTACTTTTTTGGTGCTGGAGATTAAACTCAAAGTCTCACACACAGTAAGCATGTTCTCGGCCACTGAACTACACTCTTAGCCTTTGTTTCTTTCTGCATAGGATAATTTAGCTCGGCTGTTCTCAACCACGGCTACACACTAGTATTTCCCTGGGAGACATTAACAGTACTGCTGCCTATGTCTCACCCCCAGATTCTTATTTAATTGGTCTAGAGTGCGGTATTGGAATTAAAAAAAATCCCCAGGTGGTTATAATAATGTGAAACTAGAACTGAAAATTAATAGTTTAGATTGTTCTACAAATTCTACAGAGATAGTAAGGATGAATTCAGATAATTGAAAAAATTTCATGTTTTACCTGTGAAGAATTGAGCACCCTAGATCTAGAAGACAAAGCCAAACACTGTTTTAAGCTAGTAGAGTGCACAAGTTTGACTTTCAGTTTTTCACTTTAAAACTGTGATTCTGAGATAGAGAAACTAGGGAGTTGGTTTAGCTTTAGCTCCTCTTTCTGGAGTCTTTCCTAAGGCTTGGAAGCAGTTGAGATACGGGAAGCTTTGATTAGGAGCAAAATGAATCTGAAGTGAGGTGGTTAATAAGCCAAGTGACACAGTCCCCATGGTCCCTTGCAGACATCTTCCTGGCAGGGCTGGCACATTCAGAGGCCCATGGGTGAGCGTAGGACTGGCTGCCATAGATACTGTGCTTACTTGGCCTGTTTTGCTGGAGGAGTGGGTGGTTGAGTAAGCCCATAGTGTGGCAAGCAAGTAACATAGTAAAGAAAAGAAAAATTTTGGTACTGTTTTCAGTTTGAAGACTGGCCAAAACCCCTGTCCTACATGATGCCTTTCTACTAATTGTGCCCGTGAGAAAGGGGGTGTAGCCATGCTTGGCTTGGTAATTAGTTGAGGTTTTGCATGGAGCAATGGTGTCTCTTCCCTGGCCCAAGGAACAGAGTCCCCCATCTCAGTCCCCTGGACCAGGGTCCTGGTCTGCTGTACAGCCTGGTCGGTGACACACATTGTACCTGAAGTCCTCTTTACCAACATGGGGGTATTTGTGCTCTGTTTCCTAATGGGCCAGCGGTATCAAGTCTTGAGGCCTTTTACCAGGAGAAATGATTTCTTTGTAAACTTTCACAACAAAAAACATCTAGTCTAGCCAGAGAGGAATTATGTAATCATGTAGTGGCTTTCGCATTCAGGATAAGTTCTGCTGGGCTAGGTGTACTTTTCTCCACCATTCTGTACTCAGCTTGGTCACCTGCATGGCTGGGTGACATACCAGGCTCTAATGACAAACACAAACTGAACTGAACAGGTTAGCTCTTTTTATCAAGTTTGAAAACAAGTATTTTTTTGAGATGTGGAACTCAGTCTTAACTGCTATAGTTCTGAAGCTATATTTCAGGCCTTCACGTTTAATTTCCTGAAACCAATTTCAGAAAAGCAAGCTAAATTATTTTCTCCCACATGAGTGTCCTAAAGGCACAGTTCTGCTAGGAGTGCGATTACAGTGATTCATTGGGCCCCTGTTCCTGCTCATAGATGCTTATGTTGCAATGGGAGTGCGATGTGGCTTCGAGCCACTATTCTCCGTAGTGCGGGGCTTTTTCCTGGAAGTGGCCTCCAATTGTCCTTTTCAGCATTTGAATCACCTGTCCGTCTTTCTGATTGCCTTCTCTTGGGTCTGCCATGAGGAGGTTTGTTATCCAGCACCCTGACTCCCAGTGTGACTCTGCCCAGGTTTCTCTTCTCCCATGGTTTCTGCTGTGCCCTGGCACTGCATTCAGAGGGGAGGAAACCCCTTACTTGGGGGTGAACACTCGTTTCTGATTTTTCTAGAGATGTTTCTCTAAATGTTAGGGCTGTCAGAATCCTCTTTACTTTTTGTGCCCCCCCCCCCCAGCCTCCATTGCTGGCATTGCACAGATCTTGAGGCTGTGGCCCAGTTATTTTCTGTCTAGTCCTTCCTCCTCTGGGGGCTTGAAGGTATGTGCTGTCATTGCTTTTGGTATCTTGATTGACCTGACCCTGGCAATTCAGAAGAGTAAAAGTTTCAATGCCATTTTACAGCATTCCTTTTGTTATTTCTTATTGAGTAAAGCTGAAAAATGAGTCTTGCATAGGTCTATTCATTTGCTAGGACTGCTTTAACAAAGCATTATAAACTGGATGGTTTAAAGCAATAGGAATTTGTTCTCAAGGTTCTGGAGGTGAGAAATCTGAGATCAAAGGGCAAGAGGACCATGCTTCCCTGAGGGTGCGAGGGGAGGAGCCTGGCTATTCCTGGGGGGGGGATTGCTCCCCCTTCTGACTTCATAGCGCCTGCTCCTTGTGTTCTCCGCGCTTTCTTGGCTCTTAGGAAGACATGTGTTGTTGGGGTCAGGGTCCACCTGGATTGCCCAGATGTTCTCATCTCCAGAGTCTTAATGTCATTGCACCTGCGAAGACCCTTTCCTAATAAAGTTCCTTTCCCAGGTTCTGAAGCTAGGATATAGACATATCCTTTAGAGAGCTACTGTTCCACCTACTGTAGGAGGGAAGGCTGATCTTAAAGGGCAGTGAATTTATGTATTTGGAAACGTTGTGGGGGGCAAGAATAAGACATTTCTGCCCTTCAATTTGGCCTCTAACCTCCCATCCCATTCTATTTATGGCCTTCATTCTCACCAACAAAAGTCTTAGAGATGAAGTACCAAAAATCACGGCATATTTTTTTCCTACCAGAAAAATTATTTATGCATAGTGAAAAAGTGATTTACTAGCAGTTCAGTTTTGGCATCATTGAGTTTATGGCAGGAATTCTAGTGCAGTTTTTTGGATCACACTGCACTGAGCAGTGAACCTTTCTGGTTTTTCTTGTGCCTTAGTTCAGGTCACAAGGATGCTTTGTTTTGATGTTTTCCAGGCTGCATCATGAGGGGAGCTAGCCTGCAGAGGCTGGGTGGTGGGGGACAGCAGAGAACACTTCCTCTTCATGCATCCTGGTCCTTCCTTTGACTGCTGTCAGGGAGTGACTGCCTTGCAGGGGGAACTAACTCTAGAACAAATTGCATTTTGCTTGCTTTGTAAGCATTATTGCCATATTTTGGTACTGGGGGCTGAACTCAAGACCTTTTGCTTGACAGACAGGGACTTATGCCACTAAGCTATCTTCCCAGCCTTAAAGATTATTATATTAGGTGCTTTTGAGGATCCTAGATTCCAAGTGATATGAACCTCCTAGAAGTTAATGCATTTGACTTGGGGATACTTTACTTTTGGGAGCAAGGTATGAGATTGGGGCAGGGTAGGGAGGAGGAAATACCCCTAACTCAACAGGATTTCCCATATAGAATTATTCTGTTTTACCATAGAACTGGTACTGAGTGTTCCTATTTAATTTCTTTTTTCCAGTTACATAAGCAATATATCTGTTTTGTAAAACACCTGGAAACTAAAAATGTTTCAAATTATTTAATAATTGTCAACAATCAGTGACCTACCCCTTTCTAGAACTGTTCATCTATTGGCTACTCAAGGGGCCTCATGGCGATTTTCACAGGTGAGGTCCCAAGGTTGAAGAACACATGTGTGCAAGACATCAGCAACAACAGTAGGCAGCATGGAACAGAGCAGACAGCCAGAGAGTGAGCAGCCTGCATCTTTTATTGTATAAGTCTTTTTTTTTTTTTTTTTTTTTTTTTTTGGTGGTACCAGGGATTGAACTCAGGACCTTGTGCTTGCCTGGCAAGCACTTATTCCACTGAGCTATCTCCCCAGCCCCTATTGTATAAGTCTTATACAGGTTGTTACCTCATATTTACATTCTTACATAGGGCTGTAACCAGCGCATGTGTTTTTGCCTGTGCTAAGTCATGGTTACATAACTGTATCCCACTGTACACCTGTCCTCAACAAGCAGGGTCGCGTCCTCGGGTGTCCTTAAGTGCCCCTGAGCTTTGAAGCAGTCTGAATGGTTCCCCACAGTATCTTCATGAATTTATTTAACCTGAAGTGGCATCTTATTTGACTTACTTTGATCTCTGGTTAAGCTGAATACATATTTTGTTACGCTGTCTCTAGTTATGCTGAATATCTCTCTGTCCTTATTCTTGGCACAGTTGTTTGTGGTCCCTTTTTTGTGTTCTTAGTGGATAACCAGATGTTCTATGTTGCCTTTCCTTGCAGGCAGGAGAATACTTCTAACTCTTGATAGAGGGGAAGTGATGCTGGCAAGTCTTTATTCAGATTTTCTTGTAAGATTCTGACACCAATGTATGTCTCATTAGCTTTCAATCTGAATGTTTCTTTCTGTCTTACCTTTTTTGCTCTGTCTTGCAGCTGATGGCGAGACCATCCTAAAAGGTCTACAGTCCATTTTCCAGGAACAGGGCATGGTGGAGTCGGTGCATACCTGGCAGGACCATGGCTACCTAGCAACCTACACAAACAAAAATGGCAGGTGAGGTGATCTTGAGGCTGCTTCTTCAGATCTGGGTGCTCAAAGTAGACCAAAGATGGGGGCAGAATAGGGGCTGGCTGGGGATAATGTTCAGGTATTTTTTTAAATTCTTTGACATCTCCTAGGGATGGTAGAATTCAGCACTTCTCAATCCTGGCTGTGTGTACATTAGAATCCTGGAAAGAGGTTTTTTTTTGGCAAAATACCTCTGCCTGGACATTTCCTCCCAGAAATTGTGAGGACGTGGATATCTGTGCTTTTGTAAAGGCTCAGAAATTCTACTATGTGACTTGAATGAGGAACCCCAGCAGCATAAGTGGTGTGAAATGACAGGCAGTAATCTAAGTTTGTTAAGCCGATTCCTGGGCTTCTTCCCTGAGACTTTCTGCAATATGGATGTGAGGTGAGCACCTCTGATTGCATTTCCAGTAAGCCCTCTGGTGCTGATGCTGCTGGTTAGGAATGACTGTCCATTAATACAGATCATTGTAAAATGCAGGATGATAGCATCTACAAGTACCTTGACAGGGAGCTGAGATGCTCGTAAAGTTCAAGTCTTTTTTTAAAAGATTTTGCCGACTGTATAGGCTTTGTGTAGTCACTATGTAGCTGAAGTAAATGTGTTCTAGAGGGTAGGAAGAAAACTAAATTAAGGACTGACCAGGCTTTCATCCTGGCAGCGTAATCAAAGGAGCAAGCTTGAGGAAGGCAATTTGAGGAGCTCTCACTTCTGTGCCTTTCCTTTGGGAGATGGGGTGGGGCAGGATAGTGGCCTGGAGGAGAGCAAGACAGGGACATTGATGAATGTGCCAAGGCTGATGGCTTTGAAACGGCTTCAGTGTTATCCAGGACTGATTCAGATTGCTGCTGTAGAAGGCAGACAAAGAAGGGGTCTTTCCCATTGCCTCATGGCTCAGCTTGGAAGACAGAATATGCCATGGACTACTCAGTTTACAGTTATTGCAATGTCACAGCTGCTTACGGTAACTCCAGCAGACCCTTTTAGCACAGCCAGCTGTCACACATGGCTTTCTTCATGTCCCACTTTTTCTTCTATTAAAAGAAAAAAATAAACACCCTTATTACCTTTGAAAGGCCCAGAAGACAAAATACTGTGAGGGGAAAATTTACTTTTTAAAATTTATTTTATTTTAGTGTGTGTGTGTGTGTGTGTGTGTGTGTGTGTGTTTGGTATAGGGTCTCTCTATGCAGCTCAGACTCATAGTGATCCTCCTGTTTTCATAACCTAGAGCTGGGATTGCAGGTGTGTGCCACCACACCCGGACTCTGTGTCTGGCTCAGAGTGCTTGGGGTGGGGCCTGTGTGGCATGTAGTGCTGGGGATCAAACCCTGGCTCCTGGGCTTGGTATCTCCCCAGCCTGGAAAATTTACTTTATTTTTATTTTTTAAATGTATTTAGTTTTTGCAGAGTCTCACTATACAGCTCTGACTCATAGTGATCCTCCTGCTTTCAACGTCCCCAGCTCTGGGATTACAGGTGTGCACCACCATGCCGGGACTCTATGGCTAGCTCTGCCCGCCCTGGAGGCAAGGCTGGCATGGCATGTGGCACATGCTGGGGATCGAACTGTGGTCGCTGCACTTGCCTAAGTTTACCTAAGCAGGCCCTTTGGGCCACTGAGCTATCTCGCCAGCCCTAGAAAATTTACTTTTTGAGCTCTCCTGTCAAAGTCTGTTTTTCTCTAAATCTCTATGAGCCATCTGTGTGGCACTAATTTGGGTTCTGTGTCCTAATACTTCATAAACACATGCCAAGCCCAGACCTGCATTGCAACTCTGAGCAACTTCCCTGTATGTGTTCAGCAGACTCCTCAGATCTCAAATGAGCATTTCTTCCTTAAAGGTGGCCCAGAGTCAACACCACAACCAAGCTGTTCCTGCCCTCCATCCTCTGGCCCTGTTCACACAGAGGCTCCCAGAAGCAGAGCTGCAGCAGCTGTCCTCCAGCCGTTCTCTCTGGCGTGCACCTCAGTTTTTATTGTGGCTGGTCCTTTGTGAGGGGTGGGGTGACCCAACAAGTGGGCAGCCTGCCACGTTGGTGGATTCCTTTCCTGGGTAAAAAGTTCTCTCATGCCATCTCCTGCAGGCCTTTCAGCTGAGCGCTCCCTGTGGCATTTCTCCAAGTTCCTACCATACACGCCAATTCCATTCGTATAGATGACTTAGAAATCTTCCCAGAAGGGAATTTTTGAATGACAAGAGCTATTTGGAAATCACTTGTGAAAGTAGAACGAATACAAAAATGGACATGTTTAGTTTAAAAACATATTTTCCATACTTGTCTCTCACCTCCACCCTTCCCGTCCTTTGTGCTGCTGGTGGTGGGGGAAGGGAAGATGATCCGCTCATTCAGTTGCAGACACCTTGTGGTGTCTGGGTCTGAACTTTATTTTGAGGCCCCTTAAGGGCTCAAGGTGAAAATAAAGTAATTTTGTTTTTTAATCAAAGCACACCTGTATTCTCTGAACAGAATTCATCTTCTAAGCTAGCATTTTTTAAATGCTTCTTTATAGCTTACAGGAAGTAATTTCATAACTCTGGAAAGACACACATCTGTGTGTGAACAATACAAATACATACATAATTGAGACAATAGACATCATTTTTATTTTTAAAATAACTTCATTGAACAACTAAGACTATAATCAAATTTAGATCATTTTTGTTATGCTGAAACAAAACACTCTGGCCACTAGGGATCATAAAGCCATCTTGTTATGTGTCATTTGCACAACTATTTTATTTAAAAAGGGCCGGTCAGACCTAAACTAAATTAGGGGCTAGAAAATTTCTATAAGAAACTACTTAAGGTTTTTGTCCCATATTTTTTTAAATATATATTTAGTACAGGGTCTATAGGGTTTCAATACACAGGTTAAACTTATAGTAGTGATCCTTCTCCTTTCAGCTTCCCAAGTGCTGGGATTACAGGGGCGTGCCACCACAACCAGTCTCAGTGGAAGTCTCAGAGGGCCCCAGGGGTGGGCCTGGCATGGCATGGCACAGCACAGCACCCTGGGGATCGAACCCAGGTCCCTGCGTCTGCCTAAGCAGATGTTTTAATCTGCTGTCTGGCCGGCCCTCCATATTCTTTTTCTCAAACAACTCTTTAAAATATGAAACAATTCTTAGTCTGGACAAGGTGGCTCTGGTTTGAATTTAGAGGCTCAATTGGAAGAACTCAAGTTTGCCCTTTACCCTAAGGTCATGGTATTAAACCTGACAGAATCACCAGAGGTAATGTTTAATTATTCCTGGAACTTCTGATTTTTTTTTTTTTTTGTATTTTAGGGAAGGGTCTACAGAGTGTTCAGGGTCTCACTTCTAGATTGGACTAGTAGGGATCTGACAATAGCCTCCCAAGAGCTGGGATTATAGGCGTGCGCCACCATACCCATTCTCAGTTGCCTTCCCAGCATGCCCCAGGATTGAAACCCTGGCTCCTGTACCTGCTTGCAGGCGCTTTAATCCACTGAGCTATTTGGCTGGCTCAGAACTTCTGATTCTCCTTCTGGGCCTAAGAGCCAGTTTTGAAAATCTTGGCATTTGGTGCCCCCTACTAAATCCTCCATAAACAATTGTAAACTTCTCCCCTCAAGGAGAGACACTGAAAAGAAAGCCGGGATATCTGTGTAATGCCAAGGAAAGAAAGCCAGTGGTCTTTTCCATGAATTGAGGAAGCCTCTTTTTCCTTTGGTGTGTCACCATACAATTGCTAACCTTAAAATTATACTTTCTTTTGTAGCTTTGCCAATTTGAGAATTTATCCACATGGATTGGTGTTGCTGGACCTTCAGAGCTACGACAGTGATACCCAGGGCAAAGAAGAAATTGATAATGTTGGTTTTTTTATTATTTACCTTTAAAAAATTAATTAAACTAAATTTTATTTTCATTTAAGGGTCATAAAATCTGTTGAGTTTAGTGATGTACAGTTCTTCTTTTAATTGCTGACTTCCCATTCAACTTGATTTTAAACTTCTCTCCCTTCAGATAAGTAGTTTTAGAAGAGAAAATAGTTGTTCCTTAGTTGGTTTGGGGAACCTGGCTGTCTGCTTTTCCTTTAAGCTTTCCAAGTATGAGTAATGATTTTGCTTTCCATTGGAGGGGTGTAAAACCTTTAACCAGAGCTGCATACCTGCAATATCTTAATTTTTCCCTCCCCAGTTGTTTTCTTGCTAACTCAGACTATGGTTAGTTCAGTCCTGTGAGGTTAGTTTGTGCAATTGCGCCAAATATGGAGGCCGCTATTGGGACAGGATGGAGGGGGTAGTATATGGGTTGATGTCACAACAGTTGTCAACTGGTCTCAGGCTTCTGCTCTGCAGTTTGACTTTTTTACACAACTTATTCTATAAGCTCTTCAGTTTCTTTTGTCTTAATTACAGCTTTTGAACAAAATAGAAGAGAGAATGAAAGAATTGAGTCAGGCCGGTATTGGGCGGGTGAAGCGGTAAGTGCATTCCTGAATGTCCTTTTATTTTTATATTTGTTTGGTTGGTAAAATCATCAGAAAGGCAGTGTTTCCTCCAAAATACCTGTTTAAGATGTGGAAAAGAACAAAGTCAGTATCTGCCTTTAGCAACACTGAACTGAGCTCCTGGGACCTTCACACTGAAACACAGGATAGGGTATATGAAAAAAAAACACATAGGTAGGGGACCGGGGTGCCCTACACAATGACACTAAAAAGTGATGTGGAATACTTTCACAGAGTCAGAAGTATGGCAATCAGATACGATTCATACGTGCTGTGTCTACGTATGGTGAAGTAAGCAGGGCTGCCCACCCAGTGAAAGGCGAGGTAGAACCCCCTTTGCTCCATAAGAAAAAAAGACACGTGTCTCTTTGTGCGAGGTTCTGGACTCCAGAGTAGAAATAAGCAGTTTAAAAATATATTTTGATGGCGTGTAGTGCTGAAAGTATTTTGCCTCAAAACCTTCAAGATCAAAACCTTCCAGAGGTACTAAGAGTTGAGAGACCACCTGCCATTAGCTTCTGCAGGTGGGTTGTTTTCAAATGATAATACAAACTAAAGCATTCCCTGTCCCCTGGGAGTAACTAACCACATGTGACCATTTATTGTTCACTTGGCGATTGAACCCAGGGCCTTCCACACACTAGGCACAGGCTCTATCTCTGATCTGTATCCATAGCCCTACATGTTGTGATTTGAAATTAAAAATGAGTAAACAGTTCATTTCCTCCATTAGCCTCATGTTAGCGGCTAGTGGACAGCACAGATACAGAAATGTCTGTCAGGTAACTCTGCAGGTATAGAAATGTCTGTCAGGTAGCTGTGCCAGTGGTGCCACGTTAAAGCACTTTGACAGATGTAGCAGTTTTGCCATTCATTGCAAAGGATAGGATCGCGCAGGTCATGGGATTTAAGTACTTTGTGTATACAGTCTTATTTTCAGAAAGCTGCTCTTGCCCTGCCTTGGTGGCTCCTTATAAGGCCACAAGCCACAGGAGGCCTGTCACTTGCTCATAAGCTAGTCCCAGAGATGGGGAGATAGGAAAGAAGGGCCTTGACAAGATCAGTATATTGCTGATGGGAAAGATCAGAATACTGCATTCTGTGCTGCATGACACTTTCCATAAGAGGGAATCCTCCTTGGCAAAGGCTACGATGATTAAGCACTTACTGACTCACTGTGCTGAGTTTAATCAGGGCCCATCAGAAAGCCCTGGGGCAGATGTAAGATAACAGGTAATTGTTTAACCTCCTGTAGTTGGAAAGAGAAGCAGGAAACTAAGTGAAAAGAACAGACTAGGTGTAAAACTTGCCCACTTACTGCAATCTTAATACACTAGCTTCTTAAATACCCCACCCAAGCTCAGTTAAGGGGCCCATAGCTGTGTCTCCCTTCCCCATTTTTTTTTGTGGTGATAGAGATGTAATCAAGGGCTTCATGCGCATTAGGTAAATATTCTACTACTGAACTACATGCTAGTCCTTAGAATTTTGAATATGAAAACAACCAGGGATTTCTTATAGATTAACTGAATCACAAAATACAGTGAGACCTTGGTACTCTTGCTAACTGGTTGCAGGAGGTGTTATGATTATCAAATTGTTTTGGCTGGGAAGAGTAGCCAGCCATGAGGCAGTTGACACCAGCAAGTTCTAGCTTATATATTAAATATCAAACAAATGATGAATATAGAAACAAAATTTTCATGTCAGAATGTACCATTTGTCCAACTTGAGGAATTGAAAGCAGTCAAGTATTAGGGTATGAGTGTATTTTACTACATGTTGTCTACCATGGCCTCCTCATTGATATCCCTGTCTTCATTCCCTATTCCTCTTCTCCCCACCCCAATGTTAAACTTCTAACAGTGGACGTACCAGTCCCATACACAGTCCACGCCGTGGTACCATCTTCAGTGGCTGCCAGCTACTGCTCAGCTTGCTCTTCGAGCAGCAGACAGTCCACCATACTTTGTTGCCTGCAGACAAACACCACAGGCTTCCCCCGTGCTGCCTATTCAGTGACACGTAGAGGTTCTTGCCCATGTAGGTCCCAGATGGGGACTTTCTTCCATATCTTGTGACAATATCTGCATCTGGGGCCTCTACACACCAGCACCTCTGGACAAGGGTGCTCCGTCTATGTGTGGTGAAGTGAGCAGGCACCCCTCTATCTGAGCTTTAGCACTCAGAGTGAGACCAGGAGCTGGGAGGGCCTGGGGATTCAGCAACCACCTGAACTGAGGTCTTGACTGTGACCTCTGCAAACCAGGCCAGGGAAGAACAAGAGTGGTGTTGACTAGGATGGGTATGAGGGCACCAGAGTCCCTGACCTGGCTCAGTTGAGCTTTGCTCTTGCTTTGCGGCAGCCAGCTTAATGCCTCTTTCTCATTTCTGCTCCTTTACTTCTTTTCAAGTACTAGTGCTCTGTGATTCTTAAATCAGTGACAAGACCCTAGAGCAGCCGAAATGTCCCCCTTTCTTCATTTTGAAAAATACATCCACACCCACACCACTTTGTGGACTCTTCATCTTCCTTGCTTGCAGAGCTTTCCTTATCTGTAGCTACTTGAATTAGCAGGTTCCCACAGTGTGGGGAAGTGAGACGCCCATGAACGTGCACTCTAATTTTTTTCAGGATTGCTTTAGGTATGAGAAGATAAAATGCGTTTCTGAGCTTCAGCATGAGAAGCCTAGTAGTTTTTATATTGTGGTGTAAGAGTTTTCTGAGACTGGAGTCAAGTTTTAGATTTTCATTTCAAAATACAGAACTTGGTTTTGCTCGTCACAGTTTTCATATCATTTCATAAAATAAGGATGAAAAGAATGAGAGCTTCAGAATACCTCAATGTCTGCCCATTGTTATAGGGCCCAAACAGGACAAAGATTTTTTTTTTTCACTTTTCTGCTTGGGAAATAACATTATTAGAAATGAAATCATTCACAGATAATTGAGTAACATCTGAAATCACTATTCCCTTTGGATGAATTAAATCTGAATTTTTGAGTAAAATAAATTAAAATCCCCATTTTGGACTAAAGCCATGGGATTTGTATAACAATTCCTCTATTTTACTTTCAAATGAAAGGGAACAAGAAAAAGGCTCACAATACATTAAGCTTCTTGAATCCTATGCCACCACACGCCTTGCTGAAGAGGGAGCCCAGGGCCTCAAGCATGCTAGGCAAATACTCTACTACTGAGCCACACCCCGCCCAGTCCAGTTTCATTTGTTAGGAAATTGGAGTTTATGCTGTGTCTGAGGACAGGACATATTCCATGTGGTTCTCTGCAATCCATTTTTAATTTTGACCAGTGAAGGTTGAACGGAGTTTTGTAGGCTCTGCAGTGTCTCATCATGGCCCATTTCTGCTGGGTTGAATATGTTGAGGTAATGGCTTTCACATCCTGTTAAAGATCCTTGTTGCTTCCTCGTCCGTCTTCCAAACCATTGTATTGCAGAGAAGAGAGCTCTTCAACTTAACCCTGCCACTATTGACACAAAGGAGAATAGACACAGTTTATTTTCAGTGGCTGTGTGCCTAGTTTAGGATTGCCTGTGACTGCTAGCTATCAACCACAGGGTAGGTTTCCTCCTCTGAAAGAGATGACTTTGAATTTGTCACATTCATCAGGGCCACGTTCGTAGTGCGTCGTATCCTCGTCATTTCTCTCTACTTCCCACTGCCCACAGCTGTCTGGGGCTATCCTAACTGGGGCTTCACCTTTTACAAGGGAAACCTCTGGTCTGCCTAACATCCTGGAAGCAGAATTAGTTCACTAGAATGAATGAAGTTGTTAAATGTGGGGCTGTTAGGTTAAATAAGAGTTTATGGGAATTTGTGTTATCTAGTGTTCTTTGTAGATGTTAGTACTTTCTTAAAGCCTCATTAACTCTAACAGGTTCAGACTGTACTCTTGGAAGCAGATGAAAAGGAAGCAGAAAGAGATGGGTCAGTCAGGCGGAGACAGTGCATCCTACCTGTGTCAGTGATTGTACATCATGCTCTTTTATAGTTGAGCACTGTTGTGCCTGAGAACACAAATTTGCATGCCATTCCTGTGTGATGCGTGCACGTGCTCTCGTTTTCTTGGTGTTTGGGTTAGATGCGCTGAGCCTCTTTCTAGGTCTACTTCTTCTGTCATCTGGTGTCCTCTGCTGGTAATTTCTGGTATAGTCACCCTATCAAAAAAAGAGTACTGGATTTACAAAAGCATGGCATGAGAAAATCCATCATTTGGCAGCTACTACAGTAATAATTGTTTTAAGCAAGAATCTTTTAGATAGTCTGGGGATGTACCTCAGTGGTAGGGCCCTTACCTACTATGTTCAAGGCCCTGAGTTTAAGTCCCAGCCTCCCTTTCCCTCCCTCTCTCTCTCTCTCCCACTCCCACCCCTCTCACACACACAGTCTTCTAGGTGTCACAGACACTTTTAAAGGTTTGTTGTCGGGTCACCGAGGTTATCACATTTCAGGGGCCCCACCATGCCTGCTTGATAACTTCAAAAGATGGGGAAGGACCCTGGTAAATATGCATGGAGAGATGCAGCTAATGCCTGTGCAACCAGGTGCTCACACCCTGCATCACCAGTAATAGCACAGAAACACTTCTGAGGTTCTCAATGAGACATTTGTGGAGTGTATGTCAACCTCACTTTAATCACAAACAAATCAACATGAAGAATTTTTCTGCACAATTCTTTTTTTTTTTTTTTTTGGGTGGTACCAGGGATCAAACTCGGGACCTTGCGCTTGCCAGGCAAGCACTTATTCCACTGAGCTATCTCCCCAGCCCATCTGTACAATTCTTGATCAAGACTTTTCACAGATATCATGAAACACACCAGAGTAAATTGGAGAGTTTCTAGATGAAATTCTAGATGAAATGAGTAAAAAATAGAAAAATAGAAAGTGTGAACCTTTATTCAAAAGCAGAATACTTACAAGAAACATAACTGGGACAGTGAGAGACACTTAAAGATGTATACTGTAATAGATACAGTGGACCCATGCCTTATGAACACAGTTCATTCCTGAGGGCTGTTTGTAAGTCAGGTTGTCAGTTGAAGGCTCGGGCTCCTGCACACGGCCTTCAGTGTCTCTGCTGTGTAAAGGCAGATCTCAGTGGCCTTAGACATTGGCCCAGAATTTCTCTGTTAACCCCATGCAGGAAAGGGTGCTATAGTGGTCATTTCAGAACTCTTAAATGGTTAAATCTGTATCTGAGACCATCTGGAAGCACAAGCAGCTGGCCTTTGAGTTATAACTCAAGACTTTGGTCATAACCAAAGTTGTTTGCATTGTCAGGCTGGTCGCAACTCGAGGGTTCACTGTGCTGGGATTGTGTCCACATGGTCTTTTGTGGCTGTGGTAACAGCAGCATGGCTACACAGAAGGTCTTACATGATAGTACCTGAGTGAAGTGTCACATCTACAGTAGATATTTTCTTCTTCTTCTTCTTTTTTTTTTTTTTTTTTTGCAGAACCAGGGATTGAACTCAGGCCCTTGTGCTTGCCAGGCAAGCACTTATTCTACTGAGTCATCTCCCCGGCCCCAGACATTTTCTTCATTAATCATTTGTAGGAATACGTTTAAATCATGCCAGAAAGGGTTTACCATTGATTTTTTTTGTCATTTTGAGACAGAGCTTCACCATTGAATTTTTTTTTTTGTCATTTTGAGACAGGGCTTCAGTAGGCAATTTATACTGGTCTTGAAATGACTTTTTAGCCTAGTCTAGCTTTGAAATTGCAGCGATCCTCCTGCCTCAGCCTCCTAAGTGCTGGGATTACACATATACACCACCATGCCTAGCCAGAAAGGCTTTGAAAAAGATGAACCCTGATGTACATTGGTTGATATCTGGTGGTAGTAATGTTGTAAAAAAGTAAATGCCCAAGCCTTGAGTTCTACTTGTACTCTCAAGGAGTCTGCCTGTAGCGTAGGACTATTCAAGACAGGTCCTCCTCATAAGGTAGTATTCTAAAAAGGTTCCTTCCACTTTGTCTCTTTTCTAGTTTGCCAACCATAGTTCGAGGAGGGGCCATCGACAGATACTGGCCTACAGCTGATGGGCGTCTGGTTGAGTATGACATAGATGAAGTAGTGTATGATGAAGACTCACCTTATCAGAACATTAAAATTCTACACTCAAAGCAATTTGGAAATATTCTCATTCTTAGTGGGGATGTTAGTAAGTACTCCACCCCTGTCTGGATTGCTCAGTAGGGTGGGAATGTGTTGGATTGTGGCGTTTTCCTCGCAGATGCCATAGCATAGATTTGTTCAAGTTTATTTCTGACTCTGCCGTCTTTAAGTTGCACACTGACATCATGTTCCCTTGTGCATGGTTTGGGTTTTCGTGTGCTTTGTCTTGACATTGTTTTTTTTGTGATTTAGATAGTATTTTTTTAAAAGTTGAGTTGTTTATCTTAAAAAAAACCCCACTTTTATCATAGAAAAATTCAAACCTAAGTACTGTATATACAGTAAGTCTCCATGATTTAAGAATGAGTTCTGTTCTAGGAGAACATTTGAGTCAGATTGGTTTGTAGTTTAACCAGGTGAGTCTCACACAGTATATTATATGCATCTGATCTGTGAAAGTTCACGGCTTGAGTGCTCACAAGTCAGGGCCTTACTGTGAGTTTGTGTAATAAACTTACTGTACTCTTGGGAAAGCATCAGTTCAGTGATTATCAGCTAACTTCTGGCCAGTCTTATTTCATCAAAACTGTAGTCCACCCTGTCCTTGTCATATTTGTTTTTGTCTTTTTGACACAAGGTTTTTGCTGTGCACTTCCGGCTGGCCTTGAGCTCACAGCTATCCTCCTGCCTCAGTCTTCTGAGTGCTGGGATTGCAGGTGTGCTCCACCATGCCCGGCTGTCATGTTATTTTGAATCAGCTACCAAATGCAACATTATTTCATCTGTGAAGATGTCAGTGCTTTAAATCATCCCTGTCAGCACATTATTAGGACTGAATTTTCTTCGTAGTAATTAATGCCATTTATGTAACATAATGTAACATAATTTGAATTAGGCATTAGCACCTAATTCAAATCCACCATTTGGATTTCTGTTTCTCTTTCCTAGATTTGGCAGAGAGTGATTTGGCATATACCCGGGCCATCATGGGCAGCGGCAAAGAAGATTACACTGGCAAAGACGTACTGATTCTGGGCGGTGGAGATGGAGGAATATTATGTGAAATAGTCAAACTGAAACCAAAGATGGTCACTATGGTAGAGATATCCTTTACTGCATAAGAGGAGTTTAGCGGGTTTATTTGGTTTCCCTCCTTCCTTTTGTATCTTAGACTCCAGTCCTGTGGACTCAAGGCAAGTGTGTTACATTGAGTACCCTGAACAGACGTTTGAGCTCAGTGTAGTAGCTTTTTGTGGCCACCAACAAAGAAGTAGAGATAGTGCCGTGAGGATTAGATGGTGGCTTTCATACCATGTCTGCTGCTTAGGGGCTGCAACAATGGCTCCCCTAAGCCAGTTGATGAGAAGAGCTTTTGATAGATATGCATTCGCCTTAACTTATTTCGGACATTGACCAAATGGTGATTGATGCATGTAAGAAATACATGCGGAAAACGTGTAGTGACGTCTTAGACAATCTCAAAGGAGACTGCTATCAGGTAATCATTATTTCTTGTTAACATATTTTTAAGTCAACTGGCTATGTGTAAGTTACTGATTGGAATTGTACCTTCTTAACCCAACTTTTAGCATATTTGATTAAGAAGGTAATGTCTATGTAAGTTAAGTGTATATTTATATTTCAGATAGATGTGTACAGATAATAAGACAGAATCCTCAAACTCCTCTGAATTAAATCCTGTTTTTTCCCCCTTTTTGCTGCTGGGATCAAACTTAGGACCATGCAAATGCTATATGCACACTGCCGCTGAGCTCCACCACTGCCCACATTAATTCTTGCATAAAAGATATCATGTAACTTTTTATGGCTTAGCAACTACCACTTTTGTCTCTTTCCTGAGAAATCTCTTAGGTCTTTGTTTTTCAGATGCAATTTGGATATTTGATTGGTAGGTGTAATTGTTTTAAATGTTTAAGGTGGGAGCCCTTGCTTCTTTCTAATAAGCAGTTAATTTCTGTCCTAAATTCTACTGTGCTTAAAAGTCGACCAACCATTTGTCATGATATGTAGAATTCATTTTTCAGTTGTGCTTTTTGGATTCATAGTTTTGGGTCTTACACCTGTAGGGCTTTTTAGGGCAAGATATCCAAGCACACACTCATTTTAACAGATTCTTAGATGTGTATCTCCAGATTTATAAGCAATTTAGATGAGAGCTTTAATTTAACATGTAAATTATTTAGCTCCCTCTCCTTAATGTACATATGTATATGCATCTAAATTTGATTTCTTGGTATATCCATGTTATCTTTTATTTTTTTTTCTGTATTTAGGGAAGGGTCTACAGGGTCTCACTACACAGAGCTGACTTCTTAGTGATCCTCCTATTTTCAGCCTCCCAAGCGCTGGGATTACAGGCATGTGCCACTAACACCCAGTCTTAATCGTCTTCTCTGAGTGGAGCACCCTATGGGTGGGGCAAGCACGGTACACCAGGGATCGAACCCTGGCCCTTGCACTCTGCCTAAGCAGGCACTTTAGTCCGCTGAGCTATCAGGCTGGCCTCAGCTATGTTAAAGCTGAGATAGATTCTACCCACATTGAAACGCAGTTGCCAAAAGGAATAAAAAATATAAACTTAGCTCATACTATTTGAAAGTATAAGAAGAGAGCAGAGAATTATGTTGTTTAGTGTACTTAGATAGTTGTGGCATAGTGAGATCAAAGGTAACGTTTATGAAAGTAGCTCAGGCACGTTGTTTAAGTCTTAACACCTATGCCTAGCAGACATTATTTCTATTATAAAAATGAAGATCAAGCTTAGAGGGCTTAAAGGGAATTAGTTCCAGGTTATAAAGTGACCTTAGAGATGCATGGCACAAAGTCCTCTCCTCCTTCCCCCAGCTTTCTGTGTGGCTTTCTTACATGAACTAAGAAAGCACCATAAGTGCAGGCCCAAAGCATTAGTATGGCTGAGTTGTTGACTGTAATACTGGATATAAGTAGGATATTTGGATATTTAATTGGTAGGTGTAATTGATAAAAATGTTTGAGGTGGGAGCACTTGATTCATCTAATAAGCAGTTAATTTCGCTCCTAAATTCTACTGTGCTTAAAAGTTGACCAGTTATCATGATATGTAGAATCATGGCCAGTGGCCTGGAAAGCAACCTCTTGATCTGAGAATTGAAGGGAAGGCAAGGCACAAGTAGTGACCCACTTGAATGTGTGAGGGGAGGGGAAAAGTTTTACTGTGTGTGTGTGTATGTTTTAGTGATCAATAAATAGGTATTGAAAGAATATATGAATGAGTAGTGTTAAAACCACTCAAATATAGGTACCCAAAGTAACAAATCACACCTTCCTTTTATATAAAGCTGAGCTCTCTGTGAAAACCTGAGAGAATGTTTTCTCTCTATGTGACTCTCCCTTAGGCATACTCTGCATAATTGATCACTTTCCTCTTTGGCCCCATAATCTCCTTGATCAGAAAATTTGGGACACTACTGAGTTACATGATGTTACAGTACAGGTTCTCCTATGTCCTGAGTCCTCACTGACCTTCAAAGGCTAGGGCCAAAATGTTGGCTGTCCTTGCAGCCCTCCTTTTTCTCTGATTTTTGGTCTGCAAACTTAAGTTGTTAACCCTTCAGAGGAGAAACTTAATGATATTATTACCCTATAACATTGAAATGGCCAGGGAATACCCATCTCTGACAAAACTAAACAAAAAAGGTGATACAAATGAAGGACCATTTTGTATCTGTATATTCATAATAGTTAGGTTAGATATACAGCTACTTTCTCTTAATTCAATGAATAGAAAGATTTGTACTAATAGTGTTTGTGGACAGGATATCATGTCTGCATCTTGTTCTGTGAATAACCACTAAGACAATAATATGCAATGTATTAATTATTGAAACTGTCCTACTAATTGGTTTTGAAACTGTCTCATTGTTATTTGTTCCTCAATTAAATTAATTAAAAAAAATAAAAGCTAACAATATGAAGTAAAATAAAGCTGAGCTTGAACACCTTGGTGCCCAGGTGAATGCTCTTGACAATAGCACCACCACCAGGGGGAGCCTGGAGTGTTCTCTAAGAGAAGTTTGAGAGAAGGCTGAGTTTTCCTGAAGCCTTAAGGCTTGGGGGACTGTGGTGGGAGGGGACCTTGTCTGTGCGGAAAACCCACCTGAATACCTTCCCCTAAGGGCAGGTCAGCCCTTTGGCCACTAATTTCCTGCTATTGAAAAGATTCTGAGTTTGTCCATCTGTTTATCATTTGAAAACAGGCTCAACATTTCTTCGTTTTTTTATTTTTTCATTTTTTACATGTATTTAGTACAGGGTCTGCAGGGTTTTACTACATAGATCAGACTTGTAGAGATTCTCCTGTTTTTCAGTCTCCCAAGTGCTGGGATTACAGGTGTGCGCCACCATGCCCAGTCTCAATTGCCATCTCAGTGCAGGCACACCATAGATCGAACCCCTGGCCCCTGCGTCTGCCTAAGCAGGGGCTTTAATCCACTGAATTATCTGGCTAGCCCTCAACATTTCTTTAGAACATAGAACATGTTCCCAAGCACCACCATTCTTTTTATAATGATAGTGTAAAACCTTAATACTGCGCTAAATACTAACAGGAAACATTTATGATATACATATATACACAAAAATTTGAAGTAAAATAGTTAAATCTAGCAACTTAAAATTTTCTGTAGTACGTCCAGGTAGAAGTTAGTTCAGATATGTATAGTTGTTTACTTTAAGAAATGTTATCATAATTATATAAATTAAAGGAGAAAAATAAGGAAATTAATAATTACAGAGTTTGAGAATACATTAGACATTCTTAAATTCTGCAGATGAAATAAGATTACAATAAAGAGAATCACTGAAACATAGAAACTATCAGAAACTTAAGTGGACATTTATAAAATATGGTAAATGGCAAGAGCCCTTTCCATTGAAACTAATAACAAAATAAAGATGCTTATTACCTGGCTCAATATTGTTTTGAAGCAGCTGATTTGTAAGACAGAAATGTGGAAAAAGTAACAGCTGATGTTATGAATACTTAGAAAGTCTGGCTAACTTAGCTAGAAAATTAGCTGGATTCATGAGAGTTTGATACAGGGGTAGATAAGCACTATATTGTTTTCTATGCTAAATGCTGGACAGCTTGAAAGGAAATAAAGGGTAGGTATGAAGGGCATCCTATTCAAAATAATAATCAGTTGCTAAGTACCTAGGAATAAGTGTGAGTGATATTGAGAGGTTGATCTGAATTGGTAAGATCTTAGACATGAAAACTGAATATGTGAAGCATGGTGTTTTTCTTGCACAAAATTAATAGGACATTGTCTTTCTTCCAGTTATAAGTAATTCCAGTCAGCATCACAAGGGGGTGGTTAGAATTAGCCCAACCAATTTTCTTTTGTTTGTAAAAATACAGAAGAATAGCCAAGTCATAATGAAGAGAGATTTATCCCCTAGTTTTACTATAAGGTACGATAGTCAGATAGGAAGCATGTCACAGGACAAGATGGAGGAATGCCGTGGGAACTGGAACATGCCTGAGCGTTATTCCTGTGCGCACTGCCACTTTTGGTCTGAGATGCACCTTATCTTATTTGGGAGAGGGTTTAGTGATTCAGTATACAGTGCTGGCCTAATGGGCTGTCCATCTTGTGAGGAGAAAGTTAGCAACCTAGAAACCATGGAAAGAGGAATTTCTGCATTTAAGTGTGAGGTATAAAGACTAAAACATTTAGGAAAATTTAGAGTATTTTCCTTCAGAGTTGAGAAACATTGAAAAGCAAGATACTCAAACTGCTAATGGTGTTTTGTTGTCATTACCAAGTGAAAAGACAGATGAAAGAAACACTGGTAACAGACATGACTGGGAGTGAATCCCCAAGTAATACAGAGAACCCCTACAATTTAATTTAAAACTGAAGTTAACTAAATTGATTAAGTGTGAAGGATGTGAGCTGGTGCTTCTCAGAAGAGCAAAGTCAAATAACCTGTGAGAGTAGCACATGGTGCTCACTCTTACTGGTGACCCAGAAAGTTCACTTGAAAGTGAACCACGGATTTGGCAAAATTGAGGAGAGGAACAATACCCCATGTTATTGCAGGGTGCAGGGAAACCGCTGCTTGTGTGAGTTTTTGGTTAGATTATAAATTGCTATCAAAACTCAAATCTGAGGCACCTCAGGCCTTTACCTTGATATCCTAGTGCTCATGAGCCAGCTCACGACCAAAAGCATTGGCAATAGGAGATTTATTCCAACTGTTTGTAGAGGACAGGGTTTGGCAGTGACAAGAATAAAATATTTTTAAGGGAATGATACAATTTAAAAATAAATTTTGTCATTATATGGGAAGGTATTCAAAATGTCCAAGTGCAAAATGTGTGTGATCCCAGTTTTACAAAAAAGAATAGAAGGGCCGGGAAGATGGCTCAGTAGAATAAGCACTTGCCTGGAAGCACAAGGGCCTCAGTTCAATCCCTGGTTCTGCCAAAAAAAATGCAGATTTGTGCTTGATGTGTATGGATTTTTTAAGAATCCATATGAGCATGTGGAAAAATTATGAGCCTATCACGTGGGGTTAATATGTGCATTATAGTTAGCTAGAGGGTTGGTACACAATCTTTGCTTAGTTGAATTTGGATGATGCTTTAAATGAAGCAACTTAACAGTAGAGTAAAATTTTTTTTCATATATTTTATGTATTTGGTACAAGACCTCTACGTAGCTCGGACTCATAGTGACCCCCCTGTTTTCAGCCTCCCCAGTGCTGGGATTACAGGCGTGTGCCACCACAACTGGTCTCAGTGGCGAGCTCTGGCTCTATGCACTGGGGGTTGGGCTGGTATGGGGATCGAACCCCAGTCCCTGTGCAAGCGCTTAGTCTGCTGAGCTATCTCACCAGCTCAGGAGAGTAAAATTCTTATAAAAATACAAGATATCAGGGGCTGGGGGGATGGCTCAGTAGAATAAGGACTTTCCTCGCAAGCACAAGGGTCTGAGTTCAATCTCCGGTTCCACCAAAAATAAAAATAAAAATACAAGATATCAGGTGGCAGCCTTCTGGACTCTAACTTGTATGTGAATCTTTTTGTTGGTGTTAGAAAACGAAAAGATGAGAGTACTTGTCTTAGGGATTTAGCAATAGCCAGATATGGCCCCAGATATTTCAAAGATAAGGAAAACTCCGAACTTCCACACTCATTCCCACATACAGTAGTAGTCTTTCCTTGTCTTCGTGGAATATATTCCCAGACTCTCAGTGGTTGCCTGAAACTATGTAGTGCCAACCCCTGTATATGCCATGGTTTTTCCTATACATGTATGACTATTAAGATGGTTTAAACACAGTAAGAGAGTAACCATCACTTCCACCAATAAAGTAGAATAGTTATAATAAGAGAATACTGTGATGAAGTTGCTGTCATCACTATTCTTGTGCTTTGGGGTTATTGTTAAGTAAAATAAGGCTTGCCTGTACCCATGCACTACGGTGCCACAGCAATCTGATCACTGAGACAGCTGCTCAGTGACTAAGGCCTGGGGCGTGTGTACAGTGTGGAGACTGGGACAAAAGGATGATTCCTGTCCGAGGCGGGGTGAGGTTTCATCATGCTAGACACAATTTAAAACTCATCTTTCCAGAATTTTCTGTGTGTGTTCAGATTGAGGTTGGACGTGGCACACTGAGGCTGTGGCAAGTAAAACAGTGATACCGAGGGCCTGACTATATATTTACTAAATAGGATCTGTGTGACAATTCCAGTTCTTAAATGCTCTTCTCTACCCTTTGTAACTCTTGTGGTAGAAGCTGGTGCTTAGGGCATAATTTTATTATCAGCTCTACTTAGACTATTTGAAAAACCATATTAATAGTTTAATGTGTAAAAATCAATGAACAACACAGTCATTCAGTAGTGAGAACAGAGAAGAGGAAAGCAGAGCTAGGATAGGCAGTCTTGATGAGGACTAAAAGGATGATCTTGTTTCTGATGCATTTTTGGCTCTAGTTTTTATTGAGCACCTTCGGGCAAGCTGCGTAACCATGCTTAAGCTAGTTTCTACCTGTAGGGTTGTTCGGGTGAGATGAAGGGGCTTCTGGGGCATTCACTGAGCACTGATGTCTTCACTGTTACAGACGTGGATGCTCTTTGTACACGTGACAGGTGCTGTGCATTTAAGCTGTAGCTTGCACTTTCTCCCCTTCCTCTGCAAGTGTTGTTTAACTGTGTCCACGTGTATTGGCTTACTCATATCTTGTTTTTCCTGGAAGGTTCTAATAGAAGACTGTATTCCAGTACTGAAGAGGTACGCCAAAGAAGGAAGAGAGTTTGATTATGTGATTAATGATTTGACCGCTGTTCCGATCTCCACATCTCCAGAAGAAGGTAGGTTGTGCTTTGTGTCCTGAACTGAGCTGATCATTCATGGAAATGTGTTCTCCATACAAAGGTGAAAGGATCGTAGAGGTGGTCTGGTTCCTGCCTCTCATTTTGTAAAGGAAGTTAAACTGAGGCCCATAGTGGAAAGATGGCTGGATTTGGATTTGACTTTCATTCCTGTTCTATCATTACATGAGTGAATTAACTCAGCCACTAGAGGAAAAAAAATGAGGAAAATGGCTCTTAATCATTTGGACATTAAATCGTCCGATAATTTGTTTAAATTATGTGCTTTTTACCTATACTGGGACATAACTGCTGACTTTCCAAACAAGGAGAGAGATACTCCCCCCTTCTCAAGTCATGTAGTCCAAGTCTCTGCTGCTGGGCACTTTATGTTAATGTTTTCTCTATAAATGTGACTGTCTGCTTAGTTTGAAAAAAATGGGATCTGAAGCTTTTCTGGGCATGTTGCTGCATTCCCTCTTAAAGCAGTTTTCTTTGAGAGCTCAAACACTAACGTTGTGGTGGATCACTGTCTCTGAGAGCTGGGAACAATGGGGTAGAACCCAGACTTTTAGGCAAGTGCTTCGCTACTGAGCTACACTCCTAGCCCTTTACACCAGATCTTTGTTTGGTAGCATGAGAACAGTGCCGAGTGGATGCACATTTGATTTTTGAGCTTGTTTATGTGTAGCACAGACATCAAATACCAGTCAGATGTGACTACATATCATTGTTGTTCTGAAAAATCTTTCAAATATCGGATGGGTCTCAGCTCATGGCTCTGTCTTCTTGGTTTTATGTTGTTAAGGACTAGGCTAAATATTTGATGATTGGTGATTCAGGTGTATGCAAACCCGTATTTGTATAACTTATTTTTTTTTAACATCCAGATTCCACATGGGAGTTTCTCAGACTGATTCTTGACCTCTCAATGAAAGTATTGAAACAGGATGGGAAATATTTTACACAGGTAGGCTGTTTTATTCTTTTTTCCGTAAGGTTTTTGTATTTTAAAATTTGAGTGTATGTTCTTTTTTTTTTAATTTGATACAGGGGATTGAACTCAGAACCTTGTGCTTGCCAGGCAGGTGCTTATGCTGCTGGACTATATCCACGGTCCTGAGTGTATATTCTTGAAGTGTCTGTTAAGGATAGAGTAGCATTATTCGGGCCAGCCACATAGCTCAGTGGATTAAATCACCTGAAAGCAGGCAAAGGGGCTGGGGGTTTGATCCCCGGGCTTGCTGTGCCAGCCTTGCTCCCAGGGTGTGCTAAGACGACAATTGAAACTGGGCATAATTTGAGACTGGGTTTGGTGGCACGCATCTATAATCCCAGCTCTTGGGGGGCTGTAAACAGGCAGATCACTATGAGCCCGATCTAGTAGTGAGACCCTGAACACCCTGTAAACCCTTCCCTAAAATTAAAAAAAAAAAAAAATAGCATCATTCAACTATTATGTTCTTTCAAGCAGTTGGTTTCTGAATGTCTGACCTTTCTTCTTTTGGGAATTAATGAGTTCTTAGCAGGAACCAAAATTTAGAGCTTACCAGTGTCCTGCAGGCTGTGCACAGCTGGCCAAAGTTCTTCAGTGGTGCCCGGAAAGCTCCAAAATTTACTGGTTGTCAGACCTGGTCTTTGGCTGTAGTATGAGCTGCTGCCAGCAGGTGGAGACAAAGACTGTTGTTTTTTCCCTTCCCTTATCTAGGAGACTTCATTGAAAAAAGCCATTTAGCCACATGTACTTGATAAACAGCTTTGCCTGTAGCATGAGCTACTGCCACCAGATGGAAGCAAATAGGGTTTTGCTCACTTTTCAGGGATCCTTAATATTTAAAGGAAATCTGAAGCTGTATTTTTTGATGTCTGTATAAAATACGGGCCTACACAAAACCCTTTAAAATATTTAACGGCTGCATCTTGAGATCTTTAATGTTAAGTAAAATAAATCAGACACACACATAAGCTTAGCTATCACATGGTTTCTCTTATATGGGTATAAATAATGTAAAGAGCAGAAGAAAAGGTAGATAATAGGAAACATGTTGCAAAATAGAAAGTGATCTAGAGATGGAGGAAGAGGGGGTAAAAGGGAGAGGAAGGAGAGAGCAAAGGGTGTAGGATGTGTTGCGTCTGTGTACCAGCTTCCCACAGGGACTTTTAAAAATTTCAATTTTATTTTATCTGGTATATAAAACCATAAAATCATACATATTATTGGTGATTCCATGTCAGGTTTTGATCCATGCATACATTGTGTAGTGCTTGAACTAGAACTAGAACTTCTTGTTCTTATCTAATACTGAAACTTAGTACTCAGTGAGCAGTTGCTTTTTTAAAAAAAAAAACAAAGCATTGGGCTGGGGAGATAGCTCAGCGGTCTAAGCACCTGGCCGGCAAGTGCAAGGACCCAGGTTCAGTCCTCGGTACTGCATGCTGTGCTGGCTAAGCTGTACCAAGGAAAGAAACAAACAAACAAAAAAAAAAAATAAATAAAGGTTTGGGGATGTAGCTCAGCCAAATAAGTGCCTGGCTTGCAAGCACAAGGTCCTGAGTTGGATCCCCGGTACCAAAAAAAAAAAAAAAAGGCCAATGAGATAGCTCAGCAGACTAAGTGCCTGCTTAGGCAAGCACAGGGATGGAGGTTAGATCTCTGGCACCACATGCTGTGCCAGCCCTGCCCCCTGGTACACTGAGCTGGCTACCAAGACTATGTGGTGGTGCATACCTGTAATCTCAGTGCTGGAAGGCTAAGACAGGAGGATCTTTACAAGTCGGAGCTGCTTAGTGAGACCCTGTACCAAATATATAATTTTTTTTTTTACGGAACCAGGGATTGAATTTAGTCCCTTGCGCTTGCCAAGGAAGCACTTATTCCACTGAGCCATCTCCCGGCCCCTATAAAAATTTTTTTAAAGCATTAGTATAGTTCAATATCAGGAACAAGTTTGAGGTCTTAACTTTATTCTCCTGAGGAAGTACTGACCAGCAGACGTATCTACCTTAGATATTTTATGGAACCTGAGATAAATAATGCTGAAAATGGATTAGCAGCTTCAAAACACCTTGACTACTCTGCCTGCCCTGCTTCCCTCCTCTACTGTGTGCAAGAGCTACAAACATGGCAGTGATTCACTGTGGAAATAGCCCTTGTAAGACCTGTGAAACTTCCGGAAAAGCAGATAGCTGTCTAAGAATAGATATTTGCCCCCTCATTTGTAGAAATGATGTTTTGAACATGTTCTAAATTTGATGCAATTTATAGCAGGTCTGCAAAGTGTGATCCAGATCTGGCTTCCTACTGTTTTTGCACTCCCTATGGCATCTGACCCTACCTGTTTACCACATACTGTCAGTGGCAGTGAGGATAGTAGTTGTGAGAGAGGCTGTACAATTTGTGTAGCCTCAAGTATTTTCTGTCTGGCTCTTTGCACATGAAGTTTGCTGACCTGGTTGTATAAGGCATCTTCAGTAAAAGCTGCTCAAACAAAAACTTCTTATTATAGCAGCAACCTGAATTCAGCAAATTGGACCTTTTGTCACTGGGTATTTCTCGAGCAAAACACACCTATAGCAGATTTTTCTCGTTTGTATTTTGCAAATAGGAAATCACATGTAGGTGGATATGAGGCCTGGTATCTTTACCCAAAAAGAGACCGAAAAGAAGCTGGGTATAGTGGTATATAGCTGTAACCCTTGCAGGTCAGGAGGCTGAGGCAGCAGGATCCCTAATTCTAGATCAGCCTGTACAATATAATGATACCTTGTTTAAGAAAAACAAAAGCAAACAAAAATGGAGGAGCCTCTGGTCAGTTTGTAGGAAACCGACTGGCCATAGAAAGTGGGACAATTTCATTTGTTTTGAGTATTTGCCTGGTAGACTGCTTCTTATGAGAAACTAGTACCTTAGAATGGAAGACCAACATAGGAATGCTTGCTTAGAATATAAGCATAGTCCATTTGCAAATATTAGTGACCCAGGCTTTGCTAAGTTGCATTTGCAAATGACTTACCAAAAATCACAAGAGTTATATGCTTAGGCCATACTGTTTTTCAGTACTTATCCAAAAGGTGTGTTATATTGTGTTCTCTGTCTTCACATTTATTTCTATGGGAAACACAGTTGTCATACTTGGAGATTCTAGTTTGGGAAAATGGATCTCACAATGGGATTCATAGGGCCTGAGAGGTATAAGCTTTTCAGAAGACATACTCAAGAAGTGGGGTGGTCTACTTGGGATGTACTGGTATAGTCTCTATGGTATGGGGGTTTTGTCATTTTTTTGGTGTTGAGATTGAATGTAAGACCTTGCACAACATTGAATGAGTTCTCTACCATTGAACTACATCCTACAGCCCTTGGTTTTGTTTTGTCTCAACTGCCAAGTAACATGCTTGGAAGATATTCTTGATTCTTGCCATGCCCACCCCTCCCTGCAGGAGTATGTAGCTCCGAATTGAAATAAGGTAAAGCTAGAATGACAATGTTGTGTGGTATCTTATAAAAGCCAAGTGTTCCTGCTGCAAACTGCTCTATCACAGTGAAGGAGAGAGTGTCTTGTCACTGGTGTTACCTTGGCTTCTTGAATGCAACCTTGTTAATATGCCATGAAGCTGGGGAAGTTGTTGTAGACTTTTTGGGAAATTGGGCTGACCCAGGTGGGCCAGTAGAACTCAAATTCTGGTCTAGTAGGCGCTTCTCAGAGTTAAGCACCCATATTGTTCTCCCTTACACCTTATTTAAGGCACACAAAAATTGTATGTAACTGGATGTAAGATACTGTGCGCAAGTATTAGCACACTTCACACCACTTGCACTACACTTCAACTGGATGTTGTCAGTACCCTCGCCTCGGCTCATTTGTGTTCTCTAATACCTGCTGCTTTCTGCAAATATCCCATTGTTGCTGTCATTAAGCAAATTCCTATATTTTCTTTCTAGATGACTCACCTACGTGCAATCTCTCTTACTATTTAAGTTACGCTTGCTTTTGAACTTGATAAAAAGGTGTTGCCATAGATGTATTCTGTACTTGCCTTTTTACATTACAGGAATAATACATGATAATTAACTTTAGAATGTACGGATGATGCAAAAATCTATACAGTAAAGAAAGCAAGTGTCGTTGCCTTAATGTGGAGCAATGAGAGCTGTCTAGAACTGAAGCTGGGAGTTGTGATTTAACTTCTGGTTGTGCTCCTACCTCTTGTCCCATGTCTTCTTTTTGTTCTTAATGGGTGACTAATTTTTTTGCTATTAGATTTTATTTTCTGCATCTCCCATATATCTTTTTTTAAGGGAAAAATGTTCTATTTAAGTAGACAGGAAAGTGAAATATGTCATGTTACTTTTTGAGGTAGGTCTATTTGTGGAGTTTCTTTTCAAAAACTGCTTCTTGAAAATGTTGGGAAAGAGCAAATTGTAACTTTCCCATTTCCTTACCACATTGTCTGGAAGGAGCTCCTTCCTTCCATATTCTCTCTTCAGAGAAAGTGTGGTGTCAGTTTTAAGATAGCAGGCAAAACCATTCAGCTGTTCACCTTGGTGGCATTTCCACTCTATAGCTTCCTCAGTAGTGATGTGTTCTAAAAACAACCAGGCAGTGTTTTCTATTTAAGAATCGTAAATTACACATGTGGTGTTTATGTGCTCTCATGGTGAACTTGATGTTGAAACCAAATTATATGCTGGTGAAGGGCATTTTGGTCAAACCCCACTGCAGGACCCTAGATGATGGGTTATTAAACAGGCTGGCTCTGAAGGGTAACGTCATGCTGAGCAAATGTGCTAGGTTAAAGCCACCATGGCCAGCTCTTGGATGAAATCTAATCATTCATCGATGGCTGACCTGCTGGTTTTGGAATGCCATTCTCAGAAGTTCTTACATCATAGGTTGCCTTTATTTGTAAATAATTCTCACCTTACATCATACTTGGCTATTTTGAGACAAATTCATCAGGGAGTTTTTTTTTTGTGTGTGTGTGGGGGGGTGAGGGGCGGAGGTGGGGGTGGTGGTACCAGGGATCATACTCAGAACCTTGTGCTTGCCAGGGAAGCACTTATTGCACTGAGCTATCTCCCCAGCCCCCAATCAGAGAGTTCTTGAGAAAGAGCGATGTCAACTCATGGATTTGGTAGTCTTCTGAAAGTTTCAAGTTTCAGTGTTAAAGAGAATGAGGTGATACTAAATACCGATCTTGTCTTCTAGATACAACATAAAAAGGAAGTGGGAGAAATTGAGCTAAAACGGAGATAAACCCTACTCCCAGGGATACTAAATCAAAACTTAAATCTCCCGTGATTCTGGTGCACACTAGAGATCGACAAGCACTGCTCTAGAACTAAGCAGATAATGCATCTATACAGCAGCTCTACTGTGCTCTGGCCAGCATCTCTGGTTCTCTTCACCTTTTTCTCCCTCTCATGATCACGGGATGGCTGCACAGCTTCAAATGCTCCATCTAGGTTATAGACTGGAAGAGAGTTGGAGGGGTCAGTCACTGTGTCTTTGAGCAGAATCCAAAGCTTTCCCAGCTGACTTCCACAGTATTTCATTGACCACCTCTAACTGCCAACGAGGCTGAAAAGTGCTAACCAAAAAGGGAGAGAAGTTATTACAGTGAAGTCGAGGGAAAGAGTCCAATGGGGGCTGCTGATAGAGCTCAGTGGAAGAACATTTGCCTCTCCTACCTCCTCCCCCCCAAAGCAAAGCAGCTCCAGCATAGCCTCAGCACATGTATCTTGAGTTAACTTCTGTTGTCTTATGCCTTAAAATCAGTCATAGATTTGGGGGAAAGGAAAGCAAGAGGTGTAAATACACTTACATGTCATCATTTTAGACTTTTAGAAAGTTTATAGTTTAAACCATTCTGGAAATCAGGAACATTATCTTTGTGATACTTCATTTTCAACACAATAGTGATCATTATTGAAAAAATTACTTTGAATGGGTTATGTGTATGATTCTTGACCAGATTGTATACTGTAGACACAATGACCTGTCACTAATGAGAAATTGGTCTCACTGCTTTCTATTGCTTCGTAGCTTAATAATTTGAAATAGCTTGATAAATGAAGTTGGAGAATGAGCTAATGAGACTATAAATAGAATTCAATTTAATATTTGTGAAAATACAGAGACCTATCGTATTTTTAAAGGTGAAATTTTATCTCAAGCTAGAATTGTTATTTATTAGAGAGACCTTCAAATGCACAAATGAGTAGGTTCCAAGAATTCCATTGTTTGCGTTTCTGTCTTTGATTTAGGGGAACTGTGTCAATTTGACAGAAGCCCTGTCGCTCTATGAAGAACAGCTTGGGCGCCTGTATTGTCCTGTGGAATTCTCCAAGGAGATCGTCTGTGTCCCTTCATACTTGGAATTGTATCCTTTGACCACGATGTTGTGTTACCAGGTCAGAACCCCTAAGTAATGCTATACTAGTCTAACATTTTAAATCCTAATAAGAAACAGAATTAGCTTGGGTAGCATATAAAACTCCTTTCTCAAACTTACCTGGGGTCTCCTTGGCGACTTTCAAGGAAAACATTGATTTCTGAGTTTACTGTCAAGGACTGACAAGAGGCTTCCCAGATGTTTTGAATAATTAAGTACCACTGGCCCAGGGCAGTGGTTCTCAGAGGGTTCCCAGACCTGCTGTGTCACCAAGAACTCCTTAGGTATGCAAATTCCCAGAGGTTCCTAGAGGAGCCAACCAGCTGGCTCACCTGCTAGATAGGCACATTGTCGAGCCCTGCACTGATGTGCAGACTGATCAGAAACACAGAGGTGGGCCCAGTGTCCTGTTTTCATCAGCCTCCTGGGGACTTTTGTGTACAGGAAAGGCCCGAGAAGCCTTTGATTATAATGTTGCCCCATCTGTGGCAGTTAAAATTCAAGAGATACTCATTTTACTTGTATTAAAATTGACTTCAGTGTTAATTTCTGCACTTTACTATGATGCTAATTTGCGGTAGAAATTGAGGAGTGAAACAGCAATGAGGACTACAGAGAGAATGCTAGCGAACCCTGTTTTCAGCCAGCAAAATTACTCCAGAGAGAAAGGAAAGAACATCAAGAAAACTGAAACACAAGCATGGTTAGAAATTTATGCTGCCTTTCCTTCTTCTCAAAAGCAGACAGGATATGGTCTGCTGTCATTGGCTTACTTATCTGTGGTTTCCCAGGCTGTAGTTTTCATTGCCCTTAGGGAACATCCCTAGACTGCTGTGGACCTGGAGCTAGGCTGGCTTCTGTGTGTTCAGCTGGCTGGAACAGAACCCAGTTGGAGGAGCCAGGTAGCCTGGCCAGACCCCAGGCAAGAAGCCAGAGCTCCCTAGGTCGCTAGTGAGCTGCGGAGCTGTAGGGCTTCTTTGCATGAGGGGTAGCTGTGGCCTTCCATGACCCATGGTGAAATGGGATGTCTCTCTCCACCTGCTGCCTAGATTCAGGGTGCTTCAGCAGTGTCTTGGTACAGTCAGGTCTGTGATTACGTTTAGAGAATGGAAAATCATTTGGTAATGCTTGGGAAATGGCTTCTGCCCTCTCATTCTCCTTCCCACCTTTCACTTCCTGCCCTTCTTGTCTCCTCTCCCTTTTCCTGTCTCTTTTTCCTCACTTTCTTTTTCTTTGTTTCCTTCTTATGCTATCCTTTTTGTGGAACCTCAGAAATAGTTGCTTTACCTGCAAGAGAAAACTTTTATGTTTCTTTAGTTTAGCCTTTGGGTGGTGAGGGTCCCAGGCTGCAAAAAGTGGCCTTCTTCAAAGGCTTTTATTCCCTTGGCCACCATGCTCTAAGCCACGTGGCTTTTCATCCATCTTTAAATTTATAAGCCAGCACACAAATGTTCAGTGAGGTCCATTCTGCCTTGAATTACCTGCTTTCATTCCTTGACTCCCCATCCAGGTGGGTATTTTACACTGTCTGGAAGAAAGCTAAACCCTGAAGATGACTATCCCCACAATTGTGCTGCAGATAGCCTTCCTGACCTCCAT